ATGATATTGGAGCAAATGCATCGCATATCGCCCATGGGGCGTACACTAAACATTCTAGACAAGTGAGGAGAAACCCCCCACTCAACATTTCTCATATGCTTAAGGCTCGTGGCGTATAATGTTTATCGTCTTTATTAAGTGTGTTAGCATTTTTTTGAGATGAGAAGATAGAAAGACACACAAAAGGTCTAAGGGAAACTCGATCCTAACGTTATCATGCAAAGTGGCCCTAAGGTCAGGATACGAAAGGAAATTCTACCCTAATGTTAGCATTCAAAAGATGGACCTAAGGTTGAGGTTAAAAGGGACTAGTCTAATTGTTATCATGCATGGATTACACTCCTAATGTCTATCCTACTCCAAGCTTAACCGGAAATTAAGTTGGACTAGCAATCCTAAGGGAACATGCAAAAGCAAGGCAAAAATAAGAAAACAAGGCAAAAACAACAGCTACAACAACGCCTCCTGCACAAAACAACAATAAAATCCAGCAAGGCAACACAACAACATTTAACAGCTACTAATTCAGCACAAAAGTAGGTGTAAAAGGCAGGCAGCAAACAAGCACAGCATAGACAACATGTAAATTCAGAATAAGACAACTGTTGAAAGCAGGGAAGCAAGCATGTTTCAATGCAATCAACATGAACAAACATCAATCATGAACAAGTATTATGCAAGGATGTACGTGCATCAATAATCAAACACAAATGTTCAACAAAATTGCTTCATTAAGAATCATCAAGAACAACATGTTTTTCATATCAATTCAAACAATTAAAGGATCATGCGACAGACAGAATCAGAAGCGAATACAAACATGCATCACAAGTCCAATAAGATAATCATCAACAATTAATCATTAACATGATACAAGCAAGCAATGCATATGATCATCATACCAAGCAAGCAACATGAATATGTTAAGCATTCAAACGGAAATCAAAAGTCACGCGTCGAAGAATCGCAAGTAAACAATCAAGCGTGATGAAACAGGTCAAAAACAGTCCACACAAATGCATCATATCAATCCATGAAAGTTAGAGGTGGAAAGAAATCAAAACATGCTTGAAAACAACCAAAAATCACATTCTGGTCCAGTGTTAATTGATTAACCATTTGCAGTGCAAATTTGGTTAATCGATTAACCACTCAAAAATGGTTGAATTTACACTAGTTAATTGATTAACCAGTTTTGTACTGCAACTACTTAATTGATTAACACTACACCAGAATCAGAAAAACAATAATTCAAAAGCACTTTCAGTAATTAATTCAATGTGCAATCATCCAAATGATCATGTAATCAATTATGCATGAATCTAACATCAACAATCAGTGATCAAACATCAATCAAACTTAATCAAGCATTGAGATCACAAATCACATAGATCAAAATCACCAAAATCAAATAAAATTGAAGATCTACATTGTGATTATCCAAATAAGCTCAAAACAGAATTGGATCTAGAATTAACCAACCTTCAAAGCTGAGATTTGCTTTGATAATTATTGATTCACTGCAAATTGATAGATCCAAGCTAGAAACCCAAGAAATTTTCAAGATCCAAGAGCTTCCTCGCAAGATAAGTGAAGAACAAGGCAAAATAAGCCAAAACTGATCCAAGAATCACTTATAAGCTTGCTTCCAAAATCAGATCCAAATCCAAACGAAAATCAAATGATGAATTGAAGATGATGGAGATGAATGATGGAGGTTTAGCTCTAGAATTCAAGGATTCCAATGAAGAATCAATGAACTCAAGTGAAAGAGCTTTAATGGAGTTTTGGAGTTTAGAAAAGTTGAGAGAATGTGAGAGCAATGTGTAGAGAATGAATGTGTCAAATCTGAAAATTGGAATTATGGTGAGGTTTGGAGCAAATTCACTTAAATAAGCTCTTGGATAGGAGTAGAATTATGGTTTGAAGTGAGGTTTTGAAAATTGGAATGAGATTAGGAATGGAAAATTAAAGGGAAATTTGATTGGTTTTGAAAGTTAATCAAAATTTAGAGTGATTCTAGATCCGTCTTCTGGTGTAAAAATCAATTCACAAGTGATCAAAATGGACCCCAAAAGTGGCAGCATTGAAAATGCACGTATCTGGGAAAATTTTCCTTTGGTTAATCGATTAACCATTTGCTAGTGCAAATTGGTTAATCGGTTAACCACTCACAAATTTTGAAAAATGCGCCATTTGGAGGGAAGCTTGCACATTCTCCCGTTTTCACCCGTTCTGAGCCCTGTTAAGCCTCTGAAACTTGCCCTTTGACATTATAATTGTGAAAATTCCCAAGATAACCTGTGACCTATCTCATGTGCTAAAAATAACCTGCTGAATAAAATAAAATCGGCCATTCGATTGCTGGGCAAAATAAATGTCGAAGCCTCTGACGCTCGCTGCTTAAACTCTTGCGATAAAAGAGAACCTTGAGTCATAGAAACACCTTGATCCCATGTCTCGATAACCAATTACATGCTATGCAGAAATGCAAAATGCAGAGAAACACAAGCTAATAGATCAAAAAAGATGAGGCAAATTTCGGGGTGCTACACCAAGGTATCTTACTTTCGCGCCTAAAATCATGGTACGCCAGTTTTATATTAGATGGAAATTCTACACAAGAAATGAAAATAATAAAAACCAAGTGTTATCTTATGCTTTTAATTTGTTTTTTTTATTTCTCGAAGACACTGGTTTTTCTATGCACATTATGTATTTACCTTTATTGAGAGACCTAACTAAAACAAGAGAGTATAGTTGGGGGTCCACTTGTCTGTCTTATTTGTATAGCTCTTTGTGTAAGTGCGTAAAAAAAACACATTTACTTTTTCTGAATGCGTCGTTTTGCTTCAAGCATGGGGTTGGTCTAGATTTCCATCCCTAGCGCCCGTCAACCATAACAACTTTTCCTTCCTGTATGCACAAAAGTAAGTTACTAACTTAATCTTAGTTTATTTCACCTTACTAATTATTATGTCTAACTAATTGAATTTGAACTTTTTGTGGTTTAGATGGTCGGCTAAGGGTATGACTTAAGAATAGATACTCTAGACATTGTATCATTCAATACCACAATTTGTTGGATCACCTAACACTTGCAGATGTAAGGCCTCTAAACAAATCAATTTATATTTTATATAAACTATTTTATGATCTAATATTTTTCTCTTTTTCAGTTCATATGGCGTCCATATCTAAACATGGAATACCTACATGAAGTCAGAGAGAAAGATGATGCCATTTGGACTGCATGCGTCCCGATCATCAGATTCACAACTGTGGATATGCACAACAGTTACCGTGTCAAACTACAATCTGGAATGCATCAAAACATCCCAGATCCTCTTGTTGACATCACTAAATGGCATCTAAAGAGTTAATGATCAATGGGACTTTCCCGACTGGAAAGATTTTGCAAAATCTGAGCATCATAAATAGAGGAACTGCAGTGCCCATGTCTTACGTGACCCGGTGATGGCAATCCCGTCTATACTAACTATTAATTATATGGCTTGGTACAGATCAGTTGCAAACTGGGTTTGTCTCCGAAGACAAGTATTTATACGACCCACGCCAAACCACCTACACACAAGAAGCTTCAACGTCTAACCCATCAGGAAGGCCATGTTACTCACAACCCCATACCCAATAAAATTACCAACCCATTAACCATCCAAATATGTCAACCACCCAACCACAATACCAAGAGCATCCCCCATACCATCTCGAACACACTGACTACTATCCAGAAACCCAATATGGTTATGGCCCAATACAACATCAAGATATAGCCATAATGAGGGTACATCATACCATAGCCGTAACACCCAAACATCTTTTCATAGCCAAAACGCTCTGACATCGTACCCTAGCCTACACACTCAACCATCTCAACAAACTTATGGCTTTCAAACACCACTACCATTTCAACCTTTCACCAACGAATCTTTCACACCAATGTCCCCTTTCAACCGTCCAGGTCGCACACCAATGGCCCCTTTATCACATCTGAACTACTCTGGCATGGATCGCAGCTCAATTTCAACACACAAGTTCTCATGAAAATGCAAGAAGTTCTTAGGGAACCATCTGAGAATGTTTATGAGACTTCAACTCCTCAAACACCTGGCGTGAATCAACAACGAGGGGAACAAGTGCAACGAGTTAGGGTGCCTAGGGGATATGGAACCGGTGGCCGGTATGACTCACCCGGTCGCCAACATTAGTTTAAGTAATAGTTTTTTTTAATTAATGATAATATTATTTATTTTTCATAAAAAAATTACAAAATACACTTTGTCTCTAGATGAATTGGCGACAGGGTGTTAAGTATTACACCAAGACGCCAATTGGATTGAAGACTGCATGAGGTGTCTCCAATCCAATTAATGACACCCTTATGACCTTAACAAAGGGTCGTCAATTGGAATGACACCCTTATGTAATCAGAAATCCTAACTGAGGTACTTTGAATTTTTTTGTGAAAACTGGGATACTTTAAAAATCTTTTTAAAAACTGGACTATTTTGAGAACTTTTTTTAAAACGTTGGTTATTTAGGTAAAAAATTCGAGACGGAAAAGAAATAATTTTTAAAAAAAAAAACTAATTAATTGATTCATATAAAAACATAGATGTAACCAAATCATCAACAATTTCATTTTAAATTAGAATTTATTTGTCGTAATTTCATTACATTGACCTGACAAACAAAAAAACTAGGATCAAACAAATCACACCTAACCAGAGAATCCGCTAAAGAATCACCCTCACGCCGTTACTCTCACCCAATCTCTCCCACAACACTCCTATTCCAATTCCCACAGTAAACAAAACACATCACAAACGAAACCGATTCTTGTCATAATCTCTCCCCATAACAACTATCCCAAATCTCTCTCCCCCTAATCAAACATTCAATTTCATTTCAAAATTTTACCCATACCATCTGTATAAATAAAACTCACCTAGGGTTTAGGTTTCATTCTCCACCACAAGATGAAAGCTTCACTCAAATTCCGCGACGAACAAAAGAAACCACTATTAAGAGCCAAAATCCCTCTAAGCATTTTAGGTACACCATTCCAATCAGGAATCATAGCTGGTGAATCCAAAGAACTAACTCTCAATCTCTCTACCTTTTTCCAATCCGGTCCATCGCTTAAACTCGCTTACCGCCCCAACGACTCGCAGAACCCGTTCTCGTTGATTGTTAAAACCGGAACCGGTTCGTTCGGTTCGCCGCTCTCGAGTTCTATGCTTATGAGTTGTGAATTCAATCTGCTGAACAGGAGTAAAACCGGTGGGCCGCAGCCTCTTTTCATGCTTCATTTTAAGCCGCGGTTTGGGGATTTCAGTTTTAAGAAATCTCAGTCATCGATTCTTGATGTGAAGAATTATGCTTTTCAAAACGGTGGCGTTTTGGGAGGTGATGATGCGAGTATTGAGTTTGTTGAGTCTGTTGAGTCGCCGGTAATCGGAGCTTTTTCTGCTGGGAAAGTTCCGTCTGCCGGCGCGATTGCGGGTTTGTTTTCGGGGACGGAGGTTGCTGCGAGGACGACGTTGCCGATTAGGGGGTGTGCGGCGGTGAATTTTAGGTGGGGAGTTAGGGTTCCGGCAGATGTTAAAGGGGAGAGTGCTTTTCAGAAGGTTCCGTTTCTTGTGATGGATAAGATTGGGGTTGAACATTTGCCTGTGGAGAATGGGGATTTGAAGAAACAAAAAAATGTTGCTGGAGTAGGGATTACTCCGGGGAGTGGTTATAGGGCGGAGACTTGTTTTGCGGTGAAGAGGCAGATGGATGTTTTACAGGCGGAGAGTGGGTTGCTGAGGAATGCTGTGGAGGATCTTTGGCGAGAATTTGCTAGCGCGCGAAATGGAGGAGGTTCGGAGTTTGAGAGGAATGGAGGTAAAGGGAAAGGCTTTGATGGTAGAAAGAATGAGAAGAAAGTGACGTCAGATTTTAATGGTTATCCTGGAAAATCAACTGAGGCTGATGCGAGTGAGGAGTTGAAGATGAAGAAGGCGTTGAGGGGAGCCAACACTGTTGGAGTTTGAATTCAAAATAAGTGAAATTAGATTATGTTCTGTTTGAATTTTTCACAATTTTGTTTATAGATTATAAGTCTGGTGGAGTAGAATTGTGTTTTCGTCTGTCATAAGTTTCTAGTTTCAGTTTTGGAACTGCGAATTGCTTGTTTATTGTCATATGAATGATGATAATGATTATATAAATATGTTGATTCGGTTGGTTTACAATTTCTAATGAATTGTTCTCGTAATGTATAGGTGTGTTTTGTTTCATGTTGGTAAACTCTGGTCTCAAACATACTATAGACACCATATATGACACTTACACGTCGATACTGTTAATAATTTGAAAAAATCAATAAATTAAAGTGTCTTCTTCTAGTTTTGTAGTCTACGGACAACAATTTCTTTCCTTCGTTGATTTAAGTGTCTTCTTTAGTCTTGTAGTCTACGGATAACAATTTCTTTCCTTCGTGTTTCTGAGTTTTGGAAAGTTGACAAATTGAATTACTGATTCGTGTATTCTAGCTAGATGTTGTTTCTGTACATTATTGAGATTTGGTAATAAATAAGTTTTTTCTTATTAAAATATTATGATATGTAGGAGGGGAGGGGTTGTGATGTGTCAATGTTTTCAACCATATATAAGTGTAGCAGGAGGGGAGGGGTTGTGATGTGTGAATGTTTTCAACCATATATAATTGTAGTTAGTTTCGATATTTATTTCTTTAGATTTTTAGGTTGGAAATTAGAGGGAAGGGAATCAAATTTGAATTGATTTGAAATTCAAATGTTCATCATTTTCATGACTGATAGTATATCGGATAAAACATATGTGGCATTAATTAATGGACGAGTGCAAATAGGTCAATTATTGAGAAGAATATAATTCAATAAGAGGGAATTATCATTTGAAAAACTCAATAAATGCTGACAGTTGTCTCTTAATAGCATAATAGTAGTTTTTTATGAAAAAAAACTAAAATAAAGAAGAAGAATAAAATAAATAAAAAGGAGAAAAGTGTCGGCGGGAATAATGCTACTCAAGTTTAGAGGAGTTGTGTTGTGAATCAAGAGATCAATGTTAGTTGAAATATTGAGGTTTGTCATAAAGCCAACACTTTGATTGTCTTTATGGAGAGTGTGGATTATTTGAAATATAGTGTTTTTAAGTAACATATTCTTACTATTTTGAATCAACACAAATAAAGTCTCAATGAGACTGATATTGAGGAAAGAATATGTGTAGCAAGATAATTTAATAATAGTAATACCTTTGTTTAGAGAGAGACATTTGTAAATGGCCTAAAGTTCTCTTTGGAGGATATTAGAAGAGTTTGGGATGAATGCGGAGAAGCCACTTTGTTAAGTCTTATATATGGTGCGAAAGGTACCATCCCGTACGAGTTGGTGTATCATTACAACTTTCATCTACATTAATATCGGTGCAGGTGTAGTTGAAGGAGTTTCACTTAATGAATCAGTTGTATAGCTGTCGGGTTTGAGATTTAGTGAATCAAAAGTGAAAAGAGTCTGCCATGGAGTGGATAGCTAAGGAAAGTCGATATCTGGAGATGGTTTTGTGGGATATAAATGTTAAGTTGCAGTTTCTCCAAGCCCACCAAACTCTTGTGATAAAGAGGTTGTGGCGAGTCTCATGACTCTCATTTTGTATCCAAGCATTTCCATCTCGAGTCAAGAAAAAATCTAGATGGTTAAACCTAAGATACAACCAAAGGTCTCTAGAATCCTTACAATCACGAACACAATGGAGAAATGACTCCTCTTTTAGGCCACATTTGGAACACATGACCGAGGGGACCATGCAATGATGAAGAAAAGAGAAAGTAGGAACAAAGTTGCGACAAGCAAGCCAAAAGAAGAACTTGATATCTATTAGAAGGCAAAGTTTCCAAATCCAAACCCATGGTTAGGGTTCTAAATTAGGATCATGTAAGTTTTCTTTGTTGTGAAGGATCCAAGTGTAGCTACTTTTAGTAGTGTAAGTTCCATTTATGTGATCAAACCAAATAATGACATCTTTTGTATTGAGATTGAAGCTAGGAATTTTAGTGGTGATCTCAATGATGATATTTTGACAGAGATGAGTATAGAAGTGATGAATGTGAGGAGATGTTGTAGAGTAGAAATATTTAACTAAAAGATTGATATCATGAATGTGAACATACTCAACAAGAGTAACCAAGGGACCAAGAGAAGTCCAATGAAAATACAAGAAAGAAGAGGATCTTGACCCAGGTCTTCAACCAAACCCATCTTTTAGTATAATCATTGCTTTGATAATAGAATTTCAGGTGGAGGAATATGTAATATCTGAAAGGGAAAGTAAATGGGCACCATATACATACTTTTGAGAGAGGAGACGAACCCATGATTTATCTCTATTTTGAAGCATATCCTAAACAAGTTTACCAAGGAGGATTGTGTTGGCATATCTACTAGGTCAAACCCCCAAGCCACATAAATTCCTTGAGTGTGTGATTTTTTCTAGCCAAGCAAACAAATACCCATGATGTTACCCTTCCAAATAAAGTTGTGAGTCATACAATCAATAGTGTTACATATGATTTGAGGGAGCCAAGTGGTTTCCATGTAGTAAGAAAGGATGAAGGTGAGAACTGATGTAACAAGTTCTAATCTAGGAAGCTATTAGAGTTTATATTTTTACCATGATGAAGTTGGAATCTTATTTTTTAGCTATACGTCTAAGAGTAGGAAAACAAAAGTATTTATCTAGAGAATTAGTTCTCTGAGTGCTTGGGATTGAAGTTAGTTGATTGATTTTTGTTTTAGGGATGCCAAAAGATTATAAAGCACGAGACTTATCAATGTTTATCTTCTGACCTGATGTCTGGCTAAATTTGTCCATTATAATGGTAATAGCTCTTATTTGAAACTTTTTAGCTTTTATGAATAGGAGAACAACATTCACAAATAGAATGTGTGCTATACGAGGTCCATTGCTAGAGATGAAAATAAGATTCTAAGAACCACTAAGAACAACGTCATTTATGGAAATATAAAGTTTCTCTATGCAGATGATGAAAAGGTATGGAAATAACACATCCCCTTGCCGAAGACCGTAGAAAGGCTGGAAAGCAAACATTTTATTCCCATTCCATGAAATAGACAAAGGTAAGGAGGTAATGCACTGCATAACGAGCTGAATGGTAATTTGAGAAAATCCTAAGTCCAACAATTAGTTTCCAAAGAATTCCCAATTAATGTAACTCCCATTTTAATTATTTTTATTGTCGGTGTTAATTTCATTTTCGGCATGCTTGCGTGGATTTTAGTTAAGAAGTAAGTTCCATAATACTAGAAAATATGATTAATGATAGTAATAATATGATAATTAGTAAGGTGTTACTATTATTAATATTATTGTTATTATTATCATATTAAATAATATTATTGGAATAATAATATAATTATTGGATTTTTGGAATTAAAAGAAAATGAGATTATTATTTATTTGGAATAAAAAGTGGATTAATTGGGATGAGGGGCATGTTTGGCATTTGGTATTATAATTGGAAACAAGAAGAACACGGTTGGGGGAAAGAGAAGCACGGTTGATAGAGCAAGCTTGAGGAACGATCAAGAGCAAGGAGTGCATCAAGGATGTGATTTTGTGAAGGTTCATCATCATCAGAACTGCATTTGAGGTAAGGGGGGGGGGAATGATCGGTAAAAATTGGTATTTGCATGAGTAATTGGTAGAAAGGGGAAATTCCCTAATCCCCATGATCGATGATGAATTAATGTTGTTTGTTTGTTGTTAATTCTGCTATGGGTGTTGTTTTTGTGATAGAATTCATTGCATGTGATGTAGAGTGATGGTTTGAGAAATTGGGGATTTCGGTGGTTATGACGTTAAACCGGAATTGAGTTAATTGAGTAGAACATAGGTTGATGATGATACTGATATGAAAATTTGATTCTGAATGGGGTTGCTGTTTTGTTAAGATTGTTGCATGTGATAGTTTGGGTGAATTGCGGGTTTCGGAGTAGAATTGTCGTTTAAGCCGGAAGTGGATTAATCGACAGAAGTTGATGTTTTAGCTGACAATATGGGATTTAGTCGGGTCGATTATAGGTAGATTATTAAGCCGATGTTTCCGGTGGTGTTTTGGCGAGAATTGGTGAGTGTGGGAGCTGCTGAATTCTGAACAACATAATTATTTTTCTGAATACGCAGGTATTCGCTGGGCGAGTGAGGGGGCGAGCCTTCGCCAGGAGAACTGGGCAGTGAATGCTGCCAGTAGCCTCTGTTTGGTTTCGCCAGAAGTTTCGCCGGGCGAGTTCCAGCGAGTATTCGCTGCGGGGTTTCGCCGGGCGAGTGGCCAGCGAGTGTTCGCTGCGGGCCTTCGCCAGGCGAACGCGCCAGCGAGTCCGACAGCAGTTTGTGTTTTGGCTGCTGTTCTGTGCTGATTTCTTGGTGGTTTCGGACCCTTGTTGGTCATGTTTGGTGACGAGCTTATTAGTGAGCTGTGGTGAGTGTATGTATGGTGTCAGAACGTGATTCCGTGATATCCGTGTGATTATGATATTGCATCGGTGTATGCTATGATGTATGTCTGTGGTGATGGGGGAGGCATGTTCGATATGTGATAAATTGTGATCAGTAGGATCGATACGCTTTATATACATTGCGTTTATATACAGTGTTGTGATGAGTGGATTCGTAGGATCGATACGCTTGATATGCGTTGTGTATGTATGTTATGTGATTAAGTGGATCAGTAGGATCGATGCACTTTGTGTGCTTGTGTGTATATGCATTATATGATGTGATGGATCAGTAGGATCGTGTGCACTGTGTGTGTTGTGTGGTTATGCATAGTGTCTTGCATAGCATATGGACGTGGTGAATCATGGCTCGGTGGAGTGTATGTGATTCACACACGTGCTCCAAGTGGGGAGCGTGGACGTGAGGTATGATTTACTCACATGCTCCAAGTGGGGAGCATGGACGTGGTGTGTGATACACTCACGTACTCCAA